GGATGGAGACAACCACGGGAAGAAGAATTTAAATAGGCACGAGACGACGTATAGATACGAGTCACGTACCACTTTAAATTATTTACAGCCAACAGATTAGAAGGCATTGAAGGCAAAGATCTGATAACAGAAAGGAGTCCAAATTCATTATTAAATACNAAATCAATTAGAAAATGACACATGGGCAGAATATTAAATGGAAAAGACTGCTGGGACGTTAATACTGTCATGAGCATTAATTGTGGCAAAAATTCCTTTTACATGAAGATCCACTTCCCAATTATTTAATTGATAAAAAAAATGGAAAGTGGGGGAACTATCTGTATTGGGAAAAAACTGAGTTTATATTAAAGATGATGTGGCATGACACGTGGATTAGTTAAATGGTCAAAGCGCAGCAATTGACTAAAGAGGCACGGATGGAGACAACCACGGGAAGAAGAATTTAAATAGGCACGAGACGACGTATAGATACGAGTCTCGTACCACTTTAAATTATTTACAGCCAACGGATTAGAAGGCATTGAAGGCAAAGATCTGATGACAGAAAGGAGTCCAAATTCATTATTAAATACTTGATACGTTACAAAATTGGTATTTAATAGGAATGATTGTATAACGGCTTATTTAATGTCATTTATTACTCATGATTATATCATTAAAGCTGAGGCTTCATTCCTTTACCTAGAATTATCTATAAAAGGAAGAAGTATCATCATTTGTAAGGACACGGAATACTATTGAGAATTTATTGAAATACACATCTATTTGCTTTTTTACCATCGTTCTCAAAAGTATTTTATTTTTGTCTCCTGATTATCAGTAACCCGAATTTCTTTTTAGCTTTGACCAAAGACTCGGATTTTTGGTTAAACAATTCTTTCCCCAATGCACTGATCAAGTCAGAACTGGTCGGACGAAGAACATCCTGGGCAGAATTTTAAACCCTATGTATTTTTAATTTGTTCGTCTTTTAGTTTCTATTTCCTATGGTCTTACAAGCATTTTTGGTTCGCCAAGTGTTAGTTTTTTTCTTACTATTAAGTCGATACAAAAACATGTCATGATGTCATAAAGTATCTGGCAAATAATTTCTCGTTTACAAATAAAACTCGAAGAAGAATTGGTGAAAAATTGTATCTGGTAACTACCAAATTAAAGCACCATCTATTTGTTGATCAGGAATAACTGCAGCAAAAATTAAATAATTTAATTTTATGGAAAGATATGAATATGTGTTATTAGAAAATAATTATAAGAGGTCGACAAAATAGATTATTGCAAATGACCTGTTTGGAGGGTGGGGCTCGCGCTCTATGTATTTTATTAAGTTGGAAGATTCTTATTTCTTAAATTTATTGAGAATAGCACTTGAAAACATGTTACTTGAAATTTATGAATTCAATATCCCTTCTAAAATCCAATTGACTACAATCAAATTAAGGACCCTCAAAGAACTCTAATTATCAAGGAAAACATTGAAAATCACAAAGGAAAGTTAGTAGACACGCAAACCATTAGAAGTTGGGTGCCATGCTAAAGTAGTCTAATATACTTTGTTGGACGATTCTTAAACTTCACCAAAACCACCATTTCCAGTGGATGTTTTGCTTTTGTATTCTCCAAAAGTCGTGCAACTTTTAGTTGAATTATGTCCCTTTATTATATTTGCCCTCACATGTTCAGGTAATCTCAAAGTAAACCTATCTTCAACTTCTCTAGCCCTAACTATTGAGTGCCCCGTCGAATGCGACCTTGAAAACTTTTCTACTTTATTTCGTATATCAACGCTTTCTCGTGTACCACAAGCGGCCGTTTTCGAATTCCCACTTCCGTGCCCATCACATCCACTTTCTTCTTTATTATCATCTTGGATTACAATGCTCAATGTATCTTCATCCAGTGATTCGTCCTCGTTAATGTCATGCATGACATTATTCGTCATTGTATGTGACCTTTTTTGTAGCATTTTAGGCGAGTCGAGGCTTGCACGGCATACAGGACATGTCTTGTGCGATTCAAGCCAAAGATCAATGCAATCTTGATGATACACATGGTTACATGACGTTACAAGACGCAGCAGGCTATTGTCATCGAACTCGACCAAACAAATGGCACATTCAAGCCCATACGTTTCTCTTCGATAATCTTTAACACTTGAATAGGTAAATGTTGGATAAGATTTAATAATCAAGGGATCAAGGCCTTGAATATTTGCTGAAATCCTAGGGTCAATTGGAGTTCCGGTAGGACTATGTCGTAAATGCCATGTATATAGTAGATTTTGCATGAAACATCTACAAAAGAAAATAGAGAAAAAACCTACGAAAAATATCCCAAGGAGGATGATTGTGAAGATTATTGTTATTGGTGGAGAGGCATATGTTGTTAGTGATGATGAGTTTTCGACAGAGCTCGGCGACATTTGAAGAAAAAGCAGTGCATTAAGATCATCTGAGTTTGGCCGGAAATCTATTAATCCGGCCGTGGTCTGTGTTTGTCTGGACAAGAGGAAGAAAAATGAAGAAAGAAACTGGAAAAAGGAGTAAGTGTAAACATGGATGGTTTAGATTTCTTGTTTAGTGTTGTTATTGGGAAAGGAATGGGTGAGAAAATTAAGGATAATCTATAGATATAATAATGAGTTAAATATGGTACACTAACGTGGCCAAAGTTGGTTTCTTATCTATGGTTAGGAAGCATTTCCTAGAGCGAGTCATTATCTATGTTTAGGAAGCAAATTCTACTGTAGTGTTAATGGTTTTGCAATCTGCTATCACCAATATTGGGTCATCTCCATTAGATCATATACTACTGGCACTTACAAGGGAGGGGCGTTTGATATCCACAATTAAAAAAAGTCAATATTTCCCTAAGGCTTCTATAAATATGTAGATGGATTTCATGATCTATTATATAAATATATTAATTATATAATTATTTTTAAAGAAAATTGAAAAAAATAACACAAGAGATCGATATATAAGTCACAAAAGATCGCGATTGATCTAACTTTTGCTCTCTTCTCTCTCCTTTCCGCGGTAACTTAGAAGCGATTAGGAGTAAGAGCCTTCATGGCCAATCTGGTCAGAGGCCAGCAGCCCTTCCATGGCTAGTCTTCCTCCAAACACCCTTTCCAATCCTATAAGCAACACTACAAACCCTAATCCACCACTTGACTACTCCAATTTATTAAAACCTACTTCATTAAATACTCCCATGCATGCACATAAACCCTAAATATGTTGAACGTATTCTTACAAAACCAGTTTTGTTTCTTCATGTCAAGCCTTAAATCAAATAGAAGGAATCATAAGTGGCTAGGATGAATGTTATTGAAGGTTTGCAATACGTAAGTATGAGCAAATTCTCACATGGATGGCCAAAGCTTCAAGAAATATGCAAAATTATCCGTGCTCAGTATAGTATCAAAGGTTTCCTTCGTAATAGGAACGTGTTAATTCGACTGACTTTTTTGAAAGATTTTGTTAATCTTACATCGAAGTCTGTGTATTATTTGAATTTGACAGATGGAAATTCATACCAAATGAGGCCTCTCATTTATGATTCTAAGTTTAAGGTTGGTGAGGAGACTCCAATGTCTATGGCTTGGATCTCCTTTCCAAATTTGTTGCCTACATATTTTGTGAAAGAAAGTATGTTTTCCTTAGCCCTAGCAGTTGGAAAACCCCTTTGATAGATTTTAAATATTCTTACCTTATGTTTTGATGATGTAACAAACTTACTGTCACGAACCAGATAGGGAACCTGACCTACTTGGACTACTGCAAGCTCTAACGGATTCCAGCTAAAGGTGAACTGCTACAACTTCAGGAGCTAGGAACTCCCACAAGGACCTGATACTCTTGTGGTTTCCTCATAGCAGTACAAAGTCAATTGGACACAGCTAGAAATGAAGTGACTGACGCTACTGTTTCTGCCGCACTGCACTGTCTCCAGCGCCCACTCATTCTCTAACCAAATAAAGTACTCACATCATTTCAAGTGATGTGATCAAGATGTACCTACAATGAGTTTTATACAAAACATCACCTGAAGGTTTCAGTTTCTCATTCAAGCTTCTTGCCAAAACTGAGAAATCAATCCTCAAGCTTGAAGAACAAAGTTGAATGCAACTACGGACCAGTTCCTAAAAGATAGCTTGTTATTGTCCTAGTTGAGTTGTAACTTTGTTATTGTACTTAGTGTATCTCCTAAACTGCTTAGTTAGAAGCGTTTGATTAGGAATCCTCTTATAAATCCGTAAACTCCTTGAATTTATGTTGTGACTATATTTAGTCATAAGCAAAAATCTTTGTAATTGTAGAGTTACAAAGTGGCTTGTGGTGAGAGCATCACAACTTAGAAAAAGCCTTTGTAACTAGGAAGTCACAAAGTGGCTTATGGTAAGAATACCACAAGTTAGTTGAGTAAATCCTTTGCAATGGAGTCATTGTAAAGTGGCGTGTAATAGGTTCTTTACAAGTTAGTGAAGTTAAAAGCCTATAGGTATAGGTCGTGGTTTTTTGATCCCCTTGTGTGGGATTTTTCCACGTAAAAATCTTCTGCCTTATTTATGTACGGTTTTATTAGCATTCTCATCAGAATCTTGTAGATGACCAAGTACTCTACTGTTTGGTGGACTCATACAAACTAACAATTGGTATCATAGCGGGTTTCTCCTATCTGGCTAACACCTAGGAAGAATCTTCATGGCTGCCTCACCAAATCAGGAAGAAGGTCAATCTACATACTGACCACCCAAGTTCAATGGACAATACTATGGGTGGTGGAAAGCAAGAATGCACGATTATATCATGGCTGAGGATTGTGAGTTATGGGATATCATATGCTATGGTCCTTATGTTCCAATCAAAGTACTAGAGGAACCTCCATTTTCAATGGCAAAAACCAGCAAAGAGTACACTGAAGTAGACAAGATAGTTGTGGAGAAGAATTTTCGTGCCAAGAAAATTCTAGTATGTAGAATAGGACCTAAAGAGTACAATAGAATCTCCACTTGTGACACTACCAAAGAGATATGGGACCTTTTGCAAACAGGTCATGAGGGAACTACACAAGTAAAACAGTCTAAGATTGACATGCTCACTACCGAGTATGAACTCTTCAAAATGACGAACGATGAATCCATTCAAGATATGCATACGAGATTCACTTCCGTTATAAATGAGTTACACTCCCTTGATGAAATCATTCCCAGAAACATGCTAGTACGGAAAATCCTCAGCTTTCTGCCTAGCTCCTGGGAAAGCAAAGTGAATGTCATTACTGAATCAAATGACTTATAGGAATTGACTGTAGAAGAGCTGATCGGAAACTTGAATACCCATGAGTTGAAGAAAAAGATAAATAGTGAAAGAAGAGAACCAAAAAGGAAAAGAACCTAGTACTTAAAGCTGATTATAATGATTCAAGTGAGGAAGACAGTGACATGGCTTATCTAACCAAAAAAATTTAGAAGATGGTCAAAAGAAATGGAGAAATGCTAAAAAGGGACATTTCTGTCAGACCAAGAAACTGGGATCTTTGTTACTAGTGTGGAAAGCCTGGACACTTCATGAAAGACTGTCCTCTCCTGAAGCAAGAATTCTCCAAGAAACATCATGAGAAAACAGCTAAGATGAACCCGGTTCCTATCAAGGACTTCAAGAGAAAAGGATCTGTAGACAATATGATGAGACAGGCTCTTGCAGCATGGAGGGATTCATCTAGTGAGTTTGCAGATAAACCTGATACTGGTGATAGTTCCATGATGGTAGTTGAAGGCAAAAAGACTGGATATGACTCAACTTTTGCTTTGATGGCTCAATCAGATGACAATGAAGACAATGTCAACAAAGAGGTAAACTTCAGGGATGTTCAGAGAAATCTGAAATCCTATTCTCCAAAAAAATGCATGTCTTTACCTGATGTTTTAATCACTGTTTTTCATAGTCTTGTAGAGGAAAGGGATTCTTTGACCTTAGAATTAGGAGAATCTGAACAAACTAGAGATGACTTAGTGGCTGTAGTTACTGACCATAAGAAAACCATTGAAATCCTCAAAAAAGAAAAGAGTGATCTGTTGGCAGAAATTGCAGACCTAAGGGAAACAATAGTGAAACCATGGACTAAGTCAAAACTTGAAAGTTCTGGAAAGGGAAAGGAGATAGCAAGTGCGGAACACATTAGGCTTGAAAATGAGGTGAAAGCTATGAGATTTAGGATGTGTGCTAAAATTGAGAAAAATGAGCTTCTCCAAACTAATCTGGAAAAAGTAAAGAATGATTTTGAAAAGTCCCTAAAGTGGACCTGGTCCTCAGATGCTACCACTGCCTTGCATACTAATGATTGTGAAAGCAGGCATGGAGCAGGGTTCCAAAGGGAGAAAACTCCTCACAACCCTCACAGTAAATACATCACTGTCTCTGATAACTTGCCTTGTGCCCGATGTGGGAACACTGGGCGCTTCAAGGAAGATGTCTAGGCCAAGAATCAACCAGTTCAGAAAAATAAAGTGTTTTCTAAAACGATGACTACAAAAGAAGGACCAGGTTCCACTCACAAAAAACGTACATTACCTGCATGGACTAAGAGAACTCTTATTCATCCTCTTGCTTACTAAAAGGGACCCAAACTTTTTTGGGTTCCTAAAACTAACTCATAATCTCTTGTGCAGGGAACAATGAAAGGAAGTGGTCAACAATGGTTCATGGATAGTGGGTGTTCAAAACACATAACTGGGAACACCACAGGCTTTCTTTCACTAAAAGTCCTACAAGAAGGGAGTGTATCCTTTGTCAATGGAAAAAAAGGGGTACATTCTTGGAGTTGAAAAAGTCGGGAAGTCACTCACTCATTCTATTGAAAATGTGTACTATGTAAATGGCCTCAAGTACAATCTCTTGAGTGTTTCTCAAATCTGTGATAAAGGAAACAAGGTAGAATTCTTGTTCAAAATATGTACAGTCACTGATCTTGTGACCGGTGAAATAGTACTTGTGGCCAAAAGATACAAGAAGATCTATGTCGCTGACTTCGAGTCCTTACAGAATGGTGATCTGAGTTGTCTGAAAGTTGTTGATGATGATGCTGAACTATGGCACAGAAGACTAGGCCATGCAAGTTTTTCTCTTCTAAACAAACTAATTCAGAAGGACCTGGTCCATGGTCTGCCTATGTCACAATTCAAGATGCAAAAAGTTTGTGATGCCTGTGCTAGAGGAAAACATGTGAAGTCACTCCTTATGGTGCAATCGAGTTGCGAGCTTTAAATAGTAAGAGGAAATTCTTGGTGAATGGTCATAGAGTCAAGCATTATTGGGGAGGAATGATTAATCGTGAAAAGACCAAGGTTGTATTTACTCTAGCCTCGGTTGTTATTCCCTTTAGGCCGGACCTCAACGAGCTTGAATGAAGGGAACTCAGTTGCAGCTTCGCATCCTCGAGGCCTCGAGATGTTTTTTTTGAAATGAACTAATATCAAGAAATCAAACCCTATGATTTCGCCGCGTACAGTCTGCGACAACTCAACTACGAAGTCCATAGTAATGCGCTCCCAT